TGCTGGAGTCTCATTATTAGAATTAAATGGAGCATTTTGTTTATTCAGCCCCTATCACATCACTTGTATATGTAGTAGGAACATAGAGTAGGCTATAGTCCTGTGAGACTTTGGGTGTCACTGCATGTAATTACAGAGAAATTGACTGTAATTAGGTATGGTGTCATCACGAAACTCACCAACCACTGTAATTGGCTGCAGAGAGACAGACTCTCATTTCACACTGAACTAGAGTATTTTAATAGCTGCCTGTCAGTAAGGCCGTTATCTACTCTCCAGTGGCTGCATTACAAGGTTCACTATGGCCTTGTTGAAACATTAGACTCTGAGCAGCTTGAGGATTTTCACTCACAGGAGCCCAAAGAGACAAATGTACATGCACATTTTAAATAAATACCCAGAAGCACTCCTGTGGGATAAAAACAGAGCCACAATCTATCTAGTGTCTTGTTTGAAATTCTAATAGTGGGTTTGATGGAGTGCACATGGAGACTGAGTCAAGGAATTTAGATACCTGCTGGAAACTCGCTGGCATGCATGTGTGATCGGTTCAAGGTTTGCCGTTCATAGAGGGACATTTACTTTTCTTTCACATGCACACACACACACAGACACACACACAAGTGCATACATGTTTATACCATCAAAACCCTGCACAGATACTGAGGAGTCCTGATGTGCTAAGGCTTGTCTTCTCTTCATTCTAGCACTAGTATGTTTTATAGCTATAGATAGATTGATGACATGTTTGTTGTTAATTACATATATTTGTCTTTCAAGACATTTTTACCACCAAACAAATGTATGCTTTGAAGTGCACCAACACAAGTGCAGACAAACACAAACTTGCTTACAAATACACTGATAGTTCATTCATAAATATGTTTACATAGGATTCACATACACATGGACAGATTATGAGAAAATGGGCCCCTGGGCCCCACAAACAGTAAGCGGCCCTCCACCCCTCCTAGACAGGGCCCCCAGACTAAAAGGCTAGTTGATCGTTTTGTGTCTCTGTAGTAGTTATTATTCTCTTTGTAATCATTTTGGTAATCATCCTGTGTTTCTTTATGGTATTTTTTTATCTTGAGTTTTGTCTTGTGCTCGTTTTGTGTCTCTGTTGTAGTTTTGAGCCTCTTGTCGGTCAGTTTGCCTTGTAACTGAGCTCTATGTCTTTCAAACTAAATCACTTCATACACTGGCCCCGTCCCAGGGGCCTCTGGGCCTGTGCCTTGCAGGCCTGTTTGGTGTTCCATCCATGCACATATGTGCTCAGTTTGTGATCACACACTGCAGGAAATGTAAGCACACACAGGCTCATTATCCCCACTAATGTGAAAAAACTAGCATACATACACACAAACACACTAAGCTCAACCAGTTCGACAGTCAACTGGAAAGGTGAGGAAGACAGCCACGTCATCATCATCACCATGGTAGCAAGTAACACAGTGATGCAACCGAGCATGAAGTCAGTGAATAAATCTGTCATTCAGAGCCTGCGGCTGTTTCTGTTACCAAGGAATCATGGGGGATTTTGTACTTTGATACTGGCAGCGATGCCAATACCAAAGAGGCAGACCAACGAGTCAGAGGGAAGATTTCTCCTTGAGGTTTATTGTTTGAAAATACATGGAGAGAACTTCATCGAAGCATGTGTGCTATCACAGTGTGCATGTCACAACACAGGAGTGTAAATGCTTTGGGGAGAGACAATGGAGGTAGTGTGGAGCAGAGTGGACGTGGCACATCCTGGCAAAGCAAGCTCATAGCATCATGTTTGTTTACATGAACTCCAATATTCCAACATGAACCAAAATAAAGCATAACTCCAAATAAGAAGTGGGCACCCACAGTAAAAAGCACTTTGTGATCATTAATCTTAAAGTGAGGAGACAGTTTGAGAAAATATTAATAAAGGCCAGATCAAAAAAATCTAACTTTAACTAAACTTATAACCAAAACCCTGCTGATGTACCACTGGTATATTACAATACAATAATGTACACAGCCAAAAGAAATCCATGTATTGTCTTTCTTAAGGTTTATTCAGCCATTGCAAACAGGCAAGCAAAAGAACAAAGAGAATCCTGCCTCATGCTGCTTCGCCTGTGCTGGTAAAAAACCAGAAACCCTTCCCTGGCGCATGCTGGTCCTGCGCTTGACTATCTGCTTATAAACCTAAGGTGCCCACAGTGCCAACCGCGTCACCCAGTTATCTCCAAAATAACCACCAATATAAACTAAACAACTAATAATAAAAACAAAAAAATTAAGGAAAAGAACAAAAATACTAAATAAGGCTTATCTAAATTAAACAAATACATAAAGTAAACAAACACTCAAAACAAATACTAATAACCATCAGTAACACTAATGATGTAACAAATAACTTCAATAAAGGCCATATTTAGTATTTCAGTTTTAATTAGTGTGTGCGTTACACATCTATTACCTTCAAACCCCTAAAAGCCTTTGGTTTGAAGTTTAATGGTTTTCTTGATGACACTAAATATTAACTAACTAAACAGCAATAAAGGTCTACATTTGGAAAAGCATCTTTCTAACCCCAGTGAAACAACTGCAGAACTGGCCTCAGATTTCCATCCAGATGCTGCTGAATCTCAGATCGGTGCACAGACCTACCCGCACAAAGCAGCACAGATACATCTATTGTAAAATAACCAAAGCTGAATGAATTCTGGCACAAACTTGTGTCTTTATGTAGGAACAAACTGCTCAAGTAGGCAGCAAATTGAGAACAAAGATCCTCATGGCCTTTAATTCTATTATTTTGTAATATTTTTGTATCATAAACACTACAACAGTAAAATGTTTAAAAAAAAAGTTTAACAAAATTTGTTCAAACACTAAATCACATCAACATGGGAAGAAATTAGGTAAACGTGATAAAGCACAGAGAGGGCATCCCAGTCATTACATGTTAATAGTGAAATTCAGGTTATTCCTTCACAATAGATATGGTGCATTTTAGAATAAAATCACCTCATGATAATCCTACACTGATTTAACACCGTTTTGGCAAAAATAAAAAAACATACTCACAATAGTGCCGAATAAGCAGCAACAGGATTCAGCTTCAATAAGGTCGGAATATGAACACAACTGTGTTTGAACGCAGTTTGTCAAAATACAGCTGAGGCTACTGCTCCCCTACTTCTAGACAAACAAAAACACAAGGTCCCTTAAACTGTGCAATTGGGAAACTGATCAATGTATTTCCAGTTCAGGAACCGCTCCCCTTCTACGTCTAACAATCCACACACCATACTGCATATACATGCCTACCATTACACCATGATGTAATCCAAGGCAAAGCAAAGCAGAGAGATTTACAGCCAGATTCATTATTTATCCTGTTAATGGACACATAAAATTTCCATTACCAGCACTGCAAGATGTGGCATTATGGCTGCTAGAGAGAGGGAGCGTTCACAACACATGCTGGTCCCAGTATGTGTGGTTAGTTCTTTATCTGAACTAGGGAAAACATCTGCTAATAAAAAAATATTTTAATGTATCAAGCATGCATCCTGATCGATGCAAACATCCCTAAAGCTTTACTGATGTGGCATAACATGATGCTGGACTGTGTCTGTAGTCTGCTGCCTTTTGTAATATATATATATAATATCAATGTCATTTCTGTACGAACATAAGGAAGAAAAAGCTATCACATGCAACAATAAGAAGAAACAGCTATCACATGCTATCTCTTTGTTGAATTGGTACAAAAACTTAAAGGATGAATGTCAAGTTGTGGTTTTACAGGGGGCTGCATGCAGGGGATCACCTGGACAAAAAGACAGTATGGCACACAGCCCCCTGTAAAACTACAACCTGTTGGTTTTTGTACCAAATAAGAACAAATCTTATCTTTTTCTAACATGTATGTCAGTTTTTCTAATAATTAGACTTTCTAACCTTGTTGTCCATTATTTTTCCACCTTGATTAAAACACAAAATAAAAATTACTCCACAATCTAAAGCCTGATTTAAAAATAAAATAACATTGTTGTGTTAAAATAAATGGTCTTATACTTGTATAGCGCCTTTCTATGCTTTTACAGCTCACTCAAAGCGCTTTCACATTATTCGGCCATTCAGCCATTCGCACTCCCAAGCACTCACGCATTCACACACCGGTGACATCACTGGGAGCAACTGGGGGTTCAGTGTCTTGCTCAAGGACACCTCGACATGTTGACTGGACAAGCTGGGAAT